GCCACACTGAGAAGTCTGAGGGAGGATGACCGCCACGGGGTCAAGCCACGCCGTGACATCTTTGAGGCAAGTGGTGCAAGGGCAAAAGCCCCAGCAACCAAGGCGGCTGTCGGAGAGGGCGTATGTGCCTCTGGCGGGTCAAAATCCTGTGAAAAAAAAGTCAATTATTTGTCGTACTCAGAACAGGTTACAGATCTGAAGCTGCTTACGCAATTTCCCAGCGATCCCCAGTTTTCCAGTTTTGCGTGGTGGAACGAAGCTCCACCAAAGGGTGATTCAAAAAATTTCCAAATTTTGGCCTCAAAAACCCATTTTTTTGGGCCCCAAAAACCCATTTTTGAAGAAGGATCGTGACATGTAACTGTGTGACACCTGCCAAAAATGGTAATTTTTACAGGTATCAAAAAGTGTCTTGTGGCGCTTTTACCTTGGAACTAACACTCTCTGGGGTGGTTCACCTCTCAAAAAAAGGCATCTGTTACTCAGTGAGACGCTGGTGCACAGGCCAGTCGAAAACTTTCCTGTGAACCTCCCCGAGGCCTGAAAACCCATATTTTCAAGAAGGTTTTCAGAATTTTCGTCTTAAAAACCCATTTTTTGAACAAGGAAATCACAATTTTTGGGCCTCAAAAACCCAAATTTTTGAATCACCCTTTCTTTGGTGGAGCTTCCCGGGGCCCAACAACATATCAGCTGAACAACACCATCAAATGTCGCAGACGCCGTACGTTAGGTGGCGACGCTGCAGTTTGCAGGTTGTCGTTGACGGGAATGGCAACACAGCGTCGGTTGCGGGACTGAGCCGAAAGTCGAGTGGGATTCTCAAGTTGAAGTTGTCCGTTGGCCACTCGCGGAAGAGTCTGAGCGGTAGAAAATAAGCCTCATTCTGCGTCCTAGTACTCACGTTATATTAACTATATGGCCAATGTGAATATGTTATACCTAGGCAGCAAGCAAAGCAAAGAGCAAGGCAATTCAGAAACAGCCAATTTGTTGCAAAATTTAACCAACAAACGGCACCTACCATACAACAAAGAGAAGCTCGATTGAGTCATCGAAGAGACAGTCACACTGACAGAAGGGATCATTTCGGCGTCATATGTTTGTACATGTTTGTTTTTGTCAGATTACGTTACAATAACCAGTCTCCAGGACCTAGCTAAAGCAAGGTGATATCTGGGATGAGACTCGGGAAAGGGTGCTGGAAAGCAAGTGAGGAAATGGGCACTGAATAGTGAGTGTTGAGGCTGGAAGATGCATCATGAGTCACTGGCAGTCAAATAGCTTACAAGTGAGAGACTCACTAGCACAGCACAGACTTGTCAGCCATCTGAAGTGCTCATGAGAGCTTGTGAGAAGGAAACGAGACTGTGATTTAATCACGCGTGATCGATTTGCTCACATGCTCTCACAAGAATTCTACAGATTCGCTGATGTCTCCGTTTCCCTTCATCGCTGTAGTAGGGTAGATCAGTAGCATGTGTGATGCCTGAAATGTTAGATGGGGTCTCGGCGCCGTTCCAAAGGAGCCTCTGGATGAGGAGACGTACGATTCGCTTGCTACTGGATTCGAAGACTCCGCGGACCCTTCTAGTTAGCTCATTACCGTACCCGTACATCTTGAGTCAATTTAACGTGTTCTTGCCTACTTACGACCGCTTGAGAAGCAGACGACACGGAGCAACGAACACTACTGTAGCCTGGCACAATGCCTTCTTGCCTACTTATGACCGCGTTGTTTGGATCCAAGAAGATTCATTACATACAGAACAGAATAACAAGAAGGCATTTACGACGGAGCCACGGTTTTTGCGTGCGGATCGCCAACTACGGAGTCCCCTCGTAAACGCCACAGGCCTGAGCTACAATTTTCTCGACGTCAGCCGAGCAGCATATGCGCATTGCCGCGCGGCCTCGACCAGCCTCGTTCTCCTTCTGGACGAAGCAGGCTAAATCTTTCCTGAAAGGAAGTAAGAAACCGTGGTGGGAGATGAGATGAAATCCAATGACTTACGCGCTGCTGAAAACGTGGCCGGCTCCCTCAACGCACCAGTACTTCTCGGTTTTGGGGATGTAGCCGTCCATTGGTCCAGGCTCTGGCTCATCCGTGGACACAGAGATGCGAGGGGGAGATGGGGACGAGATGCGAGGGGGAGATGACGATGAGAAGTCGACGGAGGACTGCTGAATGCTGTCGAGGCGATCGGTGAGTTGACTTGCATCCAGCAATGACGAGTCGGGGAGGCCATCCATCGACCCTTGATGAGCTACAGACAGCGCCGGGGAGAAAAGGGGCGTGTCTGGGACTGGTGGTTCCAGATATAAGCGTGAAACCAAGAGGAAGCGGCTTTGGGTGGCTTGGTCCGTGCTGTGGTCATGCTCATGAACGCAGACGCGTGCCCATTCGAAAAGCACTTCCGCCCAACTTGTGCACGGAATCCACGTATATTTGGCGGGGTTGTTGTCTCCAGCAAAGTTGGCCTGATGCACGTAGGTACTATCGCTCCACGTCAGCTTACAGTGCGCTAAGAAGGACCAGTGAACGTACCCGCTGGAGAAAGCTCCCAGAACAGCTCCACGAATCACCAGTGCGTATACTCTCTGAGTATTGGGGTCGATGTGGTCGGATGGTTCCACGTCGTAAGGTGAGTAAGGGTGGAACTCAGGGAAGCAGATGTAGTGTCCTTTCATGGTGGGGGGAGATAAGCCAGACCGCAAGCCTTCATGGCCGCACTAAAAAAGTAAGTCCCGATCTAATCGAGTCGTGCGTAACACCGATCACATCGAGTCACGGAGTCACGTCACCCTTCTCGATTCTTCCTTCTTCTTCCATTCCCTTCTTTCGCTCCCTCTCCCTCTCTGCGCCAACCCCCTTCATGCCTGCGGATAGCAATGGACAAAAGTGAGTACTAATAGCCTTGACTATCTCTGCTCACTCTCTCCAGCTCGCAGTTCCTCAACTCTCCGGAGATCTTCTCGTCATCTTCAGACTTCGAACGCATCCCTCGACTTCATATTCTCAACTCATACAATATTGCCTGCGCATACCTCTCTCGACACGCACGTCTCTCTGACGGCGAGGGGGTCGAGCGCTGCTGGTCAGGCCTCTTCTAACTTCTTGATGTAGAATTTGACATGCTTTGCAGGGCGAGCGCAGCGGCTCAACGCTCGAAACCTGAGGAAAGTCCAGGCGCAAAAGCAAACGACCAGCAGTGACGTCTCCCACATACGCCAGTCGAAAACCCGCCAGTCGAAAACCCGCCAGTCCCAGTTGCAACAGAGGCCTGCTCCAGAAACCCCAGTCGACCAGCTGATTCGAGAAAGTGCGTTCACTTATTGCTCTGTCCGAGACTTGACGGCTTACCCTCCAGCAGACTATACTTACCTGCTCAAGGAAACTTGGCAGCGCCAAACTGAAGCGTTGCGTCCAACGAAATGCGCTCTCCCAATTCATCCGACGTATGCGTAGCGCAAGCCGGCATGCCAACAATCTTGAAGAAAAACAGAAATGCGACGACCACATCGAGGAGCTGGAGCTGGAGCGAGCGAAGCTCAAGGAGTGCCACGATGAAGCTTTGGCTGAAGAATCTTGGTTGATGAAGCACACAACGGCGTCGATGTTTTCCTGGTAGATATACTCTTGCTTTCTTGCTCTCTGTCCCTCGCTCCCTTGCTTTCTTGTGCTCTCCCTCCCTCTCTCGCTACACATACTCTCCTTAGTGCTTTGCTTATCTGTTGCTACAACGCTATCCCTTCTCTGCGCCCGACAAATGTATCATATCGCGAAACCACGTACTAAAATGTATCATACGCACCACTGTTACCAATACTCCACTGAAATCTATCATGTCCACCATCTCTGATTGTTTTTGAGCCCGTTTTGCGATTTCAAAGTGAGTAACCTAAGTGCTTAATGGGCGCTTAATGGGCGCTTAAATGGGCGCTTAATGAGCGCTTAATGGGCGCTTCACAAGCGCTTACCCCAAAATGAAAGAGTCCTCACAAGTTTCAATTGGACTATATCCACCCCGCATGAGAAACAAATATAATAAAAATCAAATAAATAATGTCCTTCATTGCCCGGCACTGTAGGTCTCTAAATTTGTCCTTGTCTCAGATTTGGTTCTTACAGAAGGAGATCGAGAGGATGCAAGCCACACCCAAATCCATTATGGGAATCATGGTCACACATTCGAAGAGCTCTTTGTCGCTTACTTCCATGCCTGCTCACCGTAAATATGACACCGATGAAGAGCGTGAACAAGCGCGCCGTCTTCATCGACGCAGATATGCGACCAGTGTGCGGTGCGCTTTTTTTTCACAGAAGCTCAGACATTCAATCAAGATTCAGCGGCCAACTGACCTCAGCAGCTAATTCTGCTCAACGAAACAAACGCAAGCTGGCGCGGCCTCTGGGACGTGGGCTTATCCACCCCCCACCACTTTTGCGGACACAGGCCTTGTTCGACGTGCCTTACGACGAGCCCGGCTTCATCTACCATCATCTCGATTTCAAGCCACAGCGCGGCTCCAGCTTCATGTGAAGTAACCCCATGGCTTGGCTTCCCATACGCCGTTCCGGTGTCAACAACTTCTGTAAACCCCCAAGATCCCGATTACACACAAGGCACTCGACGCATTGAGATTGCACTACACGCGCTCTACCTACGAGAAGAAGAAAAGACAGAAGAAGAGCTCAGAAAAAATGTGCAGGAATACAACGAATCGGGACATCCGGAATGGGCGTTGGCGATCAAGCGAGAATCATATACGGCTGCTCATTTGCGATGGCGGGGAGGACTTCGCTTTGTGGACAAATATTCATGGGAGACACATCCTCGAGAGGCTGCGTTTGCACTGCTACATTGTCATTGGAGGGCACGCTCAGCTCTCCGCCTCTATACATGTAGCTATTGAAGAGTATCAGTAATTAGTTGTAGAATTTGAGCTTTTTGACCACTTTTTCACTTGTTGACGGCAATCGTTTGTCCACGTGATCTATGGCCCCTTCTTTCCGTACCTCTCGTCGACAACTTGCTCAGCGCGAGGGAGGCCACCGCCATGAACATGTCGTTCTTCTCAATGGCTCGAATGCCGCTGTTATACCGGAGGTCGAAAGCGCTGTCCAGCGTGTGTCGACAGATCAACGAAGAACCTACTCTTCGCCTATGGTCGTAACCCCTTCCTCCCCGTTAAAGCGGTTAAGGCTAGCGGTATCAGCGCCTTCCGACACACCTGCAACCACTTCTGAGGCTCCAAACTTTGCTTCCAACCTCTATTCCATGGACCGTGGAGACGATGAACCTGGCGAGCAGACAGAAGCTGAGCAAACTGAGCGAATTTTGAGGCCAGCGGTAGGCTTACAACTCTTCATCTCAGTCCCATCACCTCTAAACTTGTTGCAGGATCCAGTTCTGCACCAATGGATGCTGAATCGTCGAGACACATATCTCAAAATTCTCCTGTGGAGAGAGGGAAGAGGATACTGGCCCGATTTCTGCGCCAAGTGCGAGGTGGCAGACCCAGTCTATCGGTGCGAAGACTGCTTCGGTGGAGGTTTGCTGTGTAAAGCGTGTTGTTTGGACGTTCACCGCTTGCACCCTTTGCATATCGTCCAAGTATGTCGTTTGACCCCCCTCTCCACTGGTCGCAGGAGCTTAATCTCATAATAGGAATGGACAGGCGTCTATTTCTCCCGTATTTCTCTCAAGACCCTTGGTCCTCGCGTTCAACTCGGGCACCCCCCCTCCCAAAGCTGCGCTCGACCCATTGCTGCCCATGACAGCTTCATTCTCATTCACATCTCTGGTATTCATGAACTCTCCGTCGATTTCTGCGGTTGCCACAAAGCGGAGGACCCTTATTATGTTCAGCTCTTGCGGGCTGGATGGTATCCCGCAACTTCCGAATCTCCTCGAACATGTGCTTCCTTCTCCGCGCTTGACTCATTCCATACTCTGACACTGGCGGGAAAGATTACACCGTACGACTTTTATCAGGCGCTGGAGCACTTGTCCAATGGAGCTGGACTGGACAGCACGCCCAATCGGTATCAAGTCTTTTTGCGAATAGCGCGGCAATATCGTCATCTGCTGCTTCTCAAGCGAAGAGGTCGGGGTCATGCTCAGGGCGGTGTAGCCGCGACTGCTCCTGGCGAGCTGGCTCTTCGTTGCCCAGCCTGTCCAAGACCGGGTGTAAATCTACCAGATGGATGGGAGAAGTCTCTCAGGTATGGCTTTTTTAACTTATATGTCGATGTACTAACACGCGCCTCAGTTGCATTTATATCTGTTTCCTCGCAATCGACGCCTGTTTTCGCCTCAAACGACGCGCCATATCTAACGAAATCAGGGACCCCGGTCTGGGTACAGGGTGGGCATATATGGTGGAATGGGCTCCGTATAGAGAGTACCTAAGCACTATGAAAGATCAGCGGGAGGTAGGCGTCTCTCGTCTTCGCAGTTTGCTTTACACCTGCTAATTCGTCATAGATGAGCTCCTGCAGCGGCCTCGCTGCGTTGGATCACGCCAACTCCAAATTCTCTCGAGGATATAGTGCAACCGGAGTCGGCATGGGAGTTTGTGCCCGACACGAGTTCGTGCAGCCGAATGGAGTTGCGGACCTTCAAGCTGGAGAACGGTATGCTTGTTCTTTTGCTTGCTCAACCAACTCCTTATATCCTTCGACAGCTTTGCAAATATGGACTGGATCTTCGCCTCAATTGCTCGCCATCTTCATAGAGCTCTGCGTCTGATGGTGTCTTATGACATCGCCTGTCAATGGGCCAAGAATCTTCGTGGACGACTCGAAAAACTACCAACCATGTTACGCCTATCACTTATTCTGGCGCTCATCCGATTTGTTGTGCCCAAACTCCACATCCACGGACATACACTTATCTGCCAACTCCTCTACTCTTTGAACTGGGTCCCCGGCAGCGGTCAGACAGACGGGGAAGGAATCGAACGCCCTTGGAGTATGATTGGCGGGGTCGCCGCCAGTACTCGAGTGAGTGGGCCTGGAGCGCGTGCAGACATTTTGGACGACCATTGGTCCTACTGGAACTGGAAAAAACTTCTGGGTTTGCGTGCGTCTTCATTGCTCACTCTGTTATTCCTCAATTAAATTGATTAATCTAGCAAAACTACTTCGGCGACGTTTAGATAGCGCCGTCCACGAGTTGGCCCGCCAACAAGATGCTTTCTCGCTGTTTTCATCGCAGCAGGCCGAGCGCGTATCTGAATGGAAGTCACTCGTGGAGGAGTTCGAAGCAGATGGCAGTAAGCCAAATCCTTATCAGGCTACAGTAAAAGGTATACATCCCTTTCTGTTTTTTTACCTTCTCACCCTTCGTTAGGAGCAACAGAAGCTCAGGTCCGGGAAGAGCTAGATCGTCAAGACGAGGAACAACAAGCGACAGGAATTCGGCGCATACACGATATCAGCCCTTCGGCTTTCATTGTCGAACTACTGGATATCGAGCAAGAACAGTAAGTATCAATATTTTTCTAAGATTGAGCTAAAGCGGAACATAGGCGTCGCGTGAGCGCTTATGCAGAGCTGAAGAAGACGAATGTAACGACTTTATCCTTCAACCTGCGCAATGCTCGGAGGACATTAAACAAGCGAATTGACCGTCTTCGGGTGCTCCAGGCCACTTATATGCCCGCCTCGTTACAACTTTTGGCTGCGTTAAACCTCGCTCAAAGTACCATTGCGGAGAAAGTACCGTTATTCCCCCCCTCGGCGTTAATGCCATCCCAGCGCGAAAACGGGGGCTGTATTCCAGGCCTCATCGACATGGAGAGACTATTGCGGGATGCTCAGTGTCGTTCTGCCCTGGTTAGCCTACGAAATCAGCTCCACATCAAATATCGCTTACTCCTCTACAAACGTACCCAATCTCGGCACCAAAAAACCAATACACGCTCGCGAACTCTGGTTACACGCAACGAGTACAAGATTCTCCTCCACTCGTGGAAATACCAAGCTGCATGGGCTTCTCTGGTCGCAATTGCGGGTGGGAATGCTGTAGATGTATTATGGCCACAGCTCCTTAAAGATGACATCCGTTGTCTTGAGGACTCCGACGAATTGGCAAGGAGGGCAGCGCGCGAGCAGAAAGCTCACCAGCGCCAGGTGGAGCGGGACGAGGCTCTCCGGAAGGCGGGCTTAACACCACTCTTGGCTAGACGTCAGGATCCCGCGAGCGACGACGGTTCGGAAGAAGAGGAGCCTGCCACTTTGTTGGATACTTTCGGCAGCAGAACTGGAGGGAGTTATGACGGGTCGGCCATCCAACATGGAGAATCACGTCGCACAGTCTCATGGATATGGTCAACTGCTGGTCGAGCGGAGGCGGGTGATGAATTGGATGAAGGTGAGATTATCGGGGCTTTGATCATACCTGCTAACTTCTTTGTAGCTCTGAGGATCGAATGGGCAAAAGCTTGGGCCCGCGTTCGTCGGTGGTCAGAAGAGGTGGAAATCTTGACGGAAGAATGGCGCCGCTTTGGTGTTTCCTTGGCCTACGAACAACAGCGATGGAAGAAACGGGCCGAAGAGGTCCAAATTTCTGCCATGTCTGTCTCCGATGCAGAAGGTGCTATTGCCTATGCCATCAAGCAAGCAGATATCTATGAAAATCTCGCCTTGCGCGGTGAGATAATCCGGACTGAGCCTAAATTGGCCAAGGGGCGTGCGGCGCTACTGGCCTGCACAAGTCCGGGTGACGTCAGACGACTTGCTGCTGGATGAGGGCGATGGAATGATCGAGGACGACGATGGCGGCGATGAAGACGGCAATTTTGATGAAGAAGAAGACCACTTACTTGGGGGCAATCAGCTTTGATACTCATGTATGGTTTAGAATACAGTCTGCCTATATTGTGAATGAGAGCCGTCCACGTTGGTCGGTCGGTCGGTCGGCCGGTCGGCCGGCATGACCGAGGCCCAAAAATCATAGCTCAATTATTTTTCAAGCTGTTTATATATTATTAAACCTATGCTATTTCGTAGGCCCACATGCCAGGCAATGAATGTATTATTTTTCCAGATTTATCTGTTCCAGATGCCATCAATGCCATCAATATGTTATTTCTAGGGCACCTGATTTGTAGCAATAGTATTTTACTATTTTCAGTAGTCTCACATATCATCAATGTCATCAATGCCATCAATATTTCATTTTATTGCTGGGGCCAACTGATTTAGGGCAATATATCTTTTAGTATTTTATTGGTCCTAGATAGTAGCCATCAATGCCATCAAATTATTTTGTTAGGTCCTGATGCTAGTGTTCCATATCAGTAATATTTTATTTTCCTGGTTTATCAGCCTCAAATGCTAGCCATCAATGCCATCAATATTTATTTTGAGGGCCCTGATTTATAACAATATTTTATTATTTTATTGGCCCTGAATACCAGCCATCAGCCCCAAATGCTAGCCATCAATGCCATCAATATTTATTTTGAGGGCCCTGATTTATAACAATATTTTATTATTTTATTGGCCCTGGATACTAGCCATCAGCCCCAAATGCTAGCCATCAATGCCATCAATATTTATTTTGAGGGCCCTGATTTATAACAATATTTTTATTATTTTATTGGCCCTGGATACTAACGATCATGAGAAAACATATCTAATGATCTAGTGATGCCATCAGCGGTCAGGTCTTCCCGGGATTAATTGTAATGTGACACTGCTCTTCTTTTGGAAAAGATACCCAATGATCCAGTGATGCTATCAGCGGTCAGGGCCGGCCGGATTGCCCTAGCAGCAGGGACCCATATCTTATGGATAGTTTTCCCTGGACGGCACCCTCTTTTTATGCATAGGTCTGAGCATAGAGGGTGCAGCAACACCAGTGGCGATCCAGTGGCGGAACTCGTTCACTGACTCCATGGCGGAACGGACTCCGGGTTCGAAGCCCATGCGCGGGAGCCATCCCGTGTCCGTCATGAAGGGGACCTGCTGCGTGGAGGAGTGAACGTGGTTGTTGTAGGCGAACTCCACGGCCGGAATCAGCTCATCCCAGTCGTCCTGCTGGTAGTTGGTGAAGATCCGCAAGTACTGCTCCAGCTCCTGGTTGACGCGCTCTGTCTGACCGTCTGTCTGCGGGTGGTACGCGGTGGACGTGGCGGGCTTGATGCCGATTAGACGCCAAAGTTCTCGGGTGAAGTCCGCGATGAACTGCGAGCCGCGGTCAGAGACGTACTTCTCCGGAGTCCCATGGTGCCGCCAGACGTTCCGGTAGTAGAGGCGGGCTGCCCCTACTGCATCGACCGTTGTATGACACTCCGAGAAGTGGGCGCGCTTTCCGAGGGTGTCAACGACAACCATGATCACGTCGTACCCATGGGCTTCGGGAAGCTCTACGATGAAGTCGACGGAGACGGTATGCCAGCGTTCCGGGGGCGTTTCCGTAGGGTGCAGCTCTCCGTGGGGCAGTCTCCGGAGTGCCTTGGTGCGGCAACACAAGTCACAGGTCGCAACATACCGGCCGATATGGCGAGACATCTGAGGCCACCAGTAGTTCCGGGAGACCAACTCCAAGGTCTTGAAGCGACCTGCGTGTCCGGCAACCCGAGTGTCATGGCAGAGCTCGATGATGCGTCTCCGAAGGTCCTTGTCCTTTGGTACAACGATCTTTCCTCGGAAATGGAGAAGACCGCCGGAGATGGCCCACTCGTCAGAACGTGAGGAGCAGGGGCCTCGAGCTTGACCTTGAACCTTAAGAAGTTGCCGGGCCGCTAGTGCGATGGGCTCCTCCAGGTCGGGCTCACTGGAGAGGGCATCACGGATGTCGCGGAGGAGTTCAGAGCCGGGACCGGAAACGGAAACGCCCTCGAGTGCGCGGACGTGGAAGAGTTCAGGCCGCAGAAGGACGACATCGGAGTTGTCGGAATCGACTCCGTGGTCGGGTCTCCGGGAGAGGGCGTCAGGCCGACCCATATCGCGGCCAGGCTTGTGGTGCAGCGTGAAGTCGAACCGGGAGAGGTACAGAGACCACCGGGCCTGTCTCCGGTCTTCCTGAAGTACTCCAAATTCTTATGGTCAGTCCAAATCTCGACAGGGTGCGCGGCGCCCTCGAGGAAGTGTCTATACTCCTCGAGTGCGCGGATGATCGCGAGCATCTCCTTGTCGTGGATTTCGTAGTTGCGCTGGACATCATTTAAGCTTTTGGAATAGAATGCTACGGGGTGCCACTTCCCGTCCGGGGCGGATTGTGAAAGAACCGCCCCCGTCGCATAATCAGAGCTGTCCGCCTCGAGTCGGAAAGGCCGTGCGTCGTCCGGAATCGCCAGGACCGGTTCCGAGGTGACCGCGTCCTTGATCGCTTGGAACGCGGAGGCCTCCGCGTCGCCCCAAGTCCATTGCTGGTCCTTCTTGGTGAGCACGAAAAGAGGGCGCGCAAGGGTCGAGAAGTCCCGAATGAACCTGCGGTAGAAGTTAGCGAACCCAAGGAACTGCTGAATGTCCTTCTTGTTTTCCAGAGTCGGCCAAGCGGAGACGCCTGCGACCTTGACGGGGTCCATTTCGACGTGGTTGTGGGAGATGATGACTCCGAGGTACTCGATTGACGATTTTTCAAAGTCACACTTCTCCGCTCTGTTGATCCTGTACTCAGTCAGCTTCAAGCTGCTCACTGTTCGGGAGAAGAACGAGTCATATTACCTGTACTCAGTCAGCTTCAAGCTGCTGTAGCACAGTTAGAATACAAGAATATACGAGTCGCGTCGCACATACCTCACTGTTCGGGAGAAGAACGAGTGAGGCTGTGCAACGGATCACTAGCTACTTAAGCGTCCTCCATCGTCCTGATCCGCGGATCGACACACCCCCCGACGGTGGAAAGCAAACAACCACAACAACCACCACCCCCCATGCAAGCACCCCCAACGCCCTACTCTAAAGCTCCGCACGAGTGTCAATATCCGCGGATGTTTGCACAGGTACCTGCAGGAAAACATCCGTGGGTTTGACATCCGTGGATACAGGTATCCGTTTCCCACGGATGCCAAGAGTACAGGTATGACTTTGGAAGATCATAGTATCTGTTATCTTGTATATGTTTCAGTCACTACAGTCTTCCTATGTCCTATGGTGTCCATAGCAGTGTATTACTTGATACTACATCCTATATAAGATGCTTATATTGTCCATATACCTTAGTATCCTGATTTTTTATATGAAATACCCGTGGATAACCCGTGCAGGTACCCGTATCCGTGAGTACAGGTACCCGTTTCCCACGGATGCTGCAAATGCAGGTATTGGTTTTGAAGCCCAAATTACCCGCAGGTAGAGTACAGGTATTTATCCGTGACACTCGTGAGAAGCCTTACCCTACTCCATCACTCCCAGTGTCTGACGGTGGCGTTCGAAATCAACTCGGGCTAGCGACTTCGTGAGAGTGTCGGCAACGTTGTTGTAGGTCGACACGCGCGGGAGAGAGATTTTGCCTTTCTCGACTACGTCGTTGATGCATTTGTAGCGCACGTCGATGGCTTTGGCGCGGCTGTGGAACCTCTGGTCGAGCGCAATCTTCCGGGCTGCATTGTTGTCGCCACGTATTGGAGTCGGACCCGGCAGTGGTTCACCCAGGCCAGTAAGCAGGCTCCTGAGCCAGCATGCTTCGTGCGCAGCCTCAGCCGACGCCACGTACTCTGACTCCATCGATGACCCAGCGACCAGTTTTTGTTTCCGGGACGACCAAGATATCATGCCGGAGCCGAGCGAGAGAATCCATACCCCATGACCGACTTGCGAGTGTCCGGATCATTGGCATAATCTGCGTCTGAGTAACCCGACAGTCGTACATCGTCTCCGCCCAGGCGCAACGAGTAGCATCGTGTCGACTTCAAGTACTTCACAACGCGGATAGCTGCCAGCCAGTGAGCCTCTCTATAGCAGTCCAGGAAGCGAGCAAGATGGCAGACAGCGTAGGCCACGTCTGGTCGCGTTCCCATGGCCACATACATGAGGCAGCCGACGAGAGAGCGGTAGGGCAGTTTCGCAAGGCGTGTGGATTCCTCGGCAGACGGGGGAGACTCGGGCCGAACCAGGCAGAGCTTGTGTTCCATAGGCGTGTACACGTCATGGGCATCTCCTTGGCCAAACTGAACGACAATCCTGTCGATCAGGGCCGTCTGGGATACGCTAATCATCCTCCGTTCTGGGTCACGCACGATAGTGATCCCCAAGCAGAATGACGCGGACCCCAGATCGGAGATAGACCATTTGGAACGAAGCTCGGTCTTGAAAAGTTCGTTCGCAGCCGGGTTGGTTGCAGCCGAGAGCATGTCGTCCACATGCACAGCAACGATCGTGATGTCGCTGCCCCGCTTGCGATAATAGACACACCATTCGCAGCGCAGTCGAGTGAAACCCCATGAAATCATTGCCTCGTTGAATGTGCGGTTCCACCAGCATCCCGCTTGATGCAGCCCATACACGCTCTTCTTCAGACGCATAAGCCAATTCTCTTTGCCCGGTTCTTCATGGCCCTTTGGCTGGCGGCAGTACTGTTGTTTGTCGACAGGCAACGGTGCATTCAGGAACGCAGTCTTGACATCGATCTGCTGCAGGTCCATCCCACGCGCAGCGGCCAGATGTAAAAGTGCGCGAAAAGACTCGAGGCGAGCCGTTGGGGAAGTTGTATCGGTATAGTCGCGCCCGAAGACTTGTCGACTGCCTAGGATGCAGTATCGCACAACCACATTGGCCATATCGCGTTTGCGCAGGTAGATCGGCCAGAGATCGAGGATAGTCTTGCCAGCCGGGGCGGTCCCAGGAGGTATGAGGTAGTACACGTCCAGTTTCTTCCACGAACTCATCTCTTCC